ATTAGCTCGCCCACGCAAACTAGCACTACTCATATTTCCTTATTCCTTGATTTGTTTTCCTTACTGAGTACCAATGCTACCAACACCAGGGAGGCAGCTCCTGCATCTGGACTCTACCTATCAACCCATCAATTCATGCAACGGGGACTAACGGTTTTTCTTCCCTTTCGAAGGAAGGCGGGATCAAAGAGTGTATGCCTCAGAAAATCCCGACGGCGCCGACTTGGATTGAACCAAGGCCCTTTGCAGTGAGAAGCAGTTACGTTTTCCACTACACTATTGGGGCCACTGGCACCATGCATGTTGGAGAAATATGACCCTACCTCAGAAATTGTATGGAATTTTCTTCTACGTTTCTCTTATTTAATGGAGTCCATTTCTTGAAAGATAAAAAAAAATAACCCAATTTTTTTAAATTGTCCTCCGAATATGATAATTTTTTATAATTTTCTCATTATTCGCTTGAAATTCTTTTTTGAATTTTTTTTTCAGAATTCCTTTGAAATTATTTTGCATGACTACCTTTAAATTCAGCTTATTATTCTCCTTGATTTATCAACAGAATGCTCCTGGAATTTTCCTAAAAATTCATCTGCTATTCTACTTTCGGTTCTCTTACAGTTCTCCACAGAACCACTTGGAGATCAATTCAGAACTTCCTTTCTTCTCCCCTGAAATCTCTTGGAATTAATCTCAGGCTTTCTTAGAACATTATCTCAAAATTATCTTGGAGTTCTGATCAGAAATATCTTGGATCTATTTTCCCAGAATTAGGAATCTTCGTCAATATTTATTTGAAAGTATTCTTGATTTAGAAATGTAGTCAACAATTCCATTTTTTTTTATTTCAAAACAGTGAACATTCGTTCATGTCCCACAGCTTTGAAAATTAATCAGGGCAAAATTCCAGAATCGTGAAAAATTTTCACAATCCCAACTTTTGGGTATTTTTCCCAGTTCCAATTAGGAAAAAAATTACATTTTTTTAATTCTTGGATCACGAAGATTTTTATAAACTACAAAACTTGAATCAATGTAATTCTCATGCCTCGGATTCATTTGAATGACAAACTATGAACATGAGAATTATTATTTTCATGGTTTCCCAAACAAGCGTAATCATGGCATATGACTCAAAATAAGTATCAAAAACATGAAAGCATTGTGAATCTAGAACGTTTTTGTTATTTTTTTTAGATATCTGTGAATACAGATTATGGTGTGCTCACATATTTTTTTGCTCCGAAATCCCCAAGATTTTTTACTGGATCTCATTTGTTTCAAGTTCTAGATTTCTATAACAATTTCTTGAAGCAATATCATCCTGTTTACAATTCGATCTAACGGCCCTCAGCAAATTGGGCCTATTGAACTCAAGCTACAAAAAAGCTGCTCAAATTGATTTTTCGAAGTATTTACCGGAGGTGAGCCAGCCCAGGTTGAAAGCTTCTCTAATAAAGAAAACTTAACTTAATTTTTCAAAGTATTTTGAAATAAAATATTTACTTTTTTGTATTAGTCCACAGCTGAAATTCACTTCCAGTTAGCGTACACGCTGGACTGACTTAAAAACTATTGTTTGCTCATCCTCAATTGGTCTTGGATGGCTGTGTGTCCAAATGTATCAAACCCTGATTATAAAGATTGTATTTTTTAATAAATCAAGTGACCCATTTAGTTGAATAACTATTAACTTTAAAAAACTTTGACTATATGTTTTTAGTATTACTTCTGCGTGAAGTCAACGATTTACATAGTTGAAGATGCTAATTTCAAATAACAGCCTGTAGTGGTATTTTTATACGATAGATGGAGTAGATGAAAGTATAGAGTTTGATAGTTCCGTTAGAGTACGGCAGTGTGAAAATTGCATATAACAGCTCGCTATTCTACTATCTATATGCAATTTCCACACTGCCGTACTCTAACGGAACTATCAAACTCTATACTTTCATCTACTCAATCTATCGTATAAAAATTACCACTACCATCTGTTATTTGAAATTAGCATCTTCAACTATTTAAAAAACTGTTTTCTTTACGATTCAAGATGTTTTTCTCACAAATGACTTCGAACATTAATTAGGTGGTCATGAACGTTTTCCGTTTTTCTGAATATTATCCCGAGATTTTTTTGAATTTGCACCGGGAAAAAATCGCCAGTCCTAAAATGAAAATTCATTGGCCACTCTGATCAGCTTTTGGCGACAGTCTTAAAAAATATTACCAACCAACCAACCATATTGAATACACCAGTATAAAAATCTATCGTCATATTGAATTCACAATTTTAAAATTCATGTGCCATCTAGGAATTGAAATTGTCATTGCAATTGCAATAATATTGCTTTCAAAACGATCGACCATATTATCAAAAATTTGGATTTGAATTTGACAATACATTATCGAAATTACAACAACAACAATGCTGCATTTCAGAAAGATCGACCATTTTATCAAAGAACAGTCATCTTGAATTTACCACATTGAAAATCATGCACCATTTTGGAATGAAAATCGTCCCTGCAATTTCAAAAATATTGCATTTAGAACCGTCGACCATTTAATAAAAAACCCTCCATCTTGATTCCACCATTTTGAAATTCTTCCGGCATCGTTTATCCATCATTTTGAAAGAAAATCGCCAAGTTGGTTTTGCTACCGAAGACGAACCAGCCCAGGGCTGAAGGTCTCAATATTAAAGATATAAAAAATGGTATTGAAATTGTTATTCCAATAACTAAAATATAATAATCATTCAACAACATTAGGAACATTTGTAAAAATGGCAATAGTCCCCTTTTGGCTTATTTGCAATGCCTTGTTAAGCAATTTGAATTTGGGTGCAGCTCAAACGAGTGTGGAGCCAAAACCAATGAAAAGAATTAACTTCAACCAGTTCAACATTCCGATAGATTTTATGTCAATATAGGAAATTTAGAAATACTTAAACCTATTCTGCGTGGTGTGTGAGGTGAGGTGACAGTGCAATAAGAGTCACCGCACCCAGGGTGACAATTGTCACTTCACAAGTGACAGCGTGTCACCTCACCTAACACGCCACGCAGACTAGGCATAACAGTGAACTCTCTCTTTCTGACTTAGGGAGGTATTCCCTCTTATTCTGCGCCGAGAGTGAGGTAAGGTGACTCGCTGTCACTAGTGAGATGACAAAAGTCATCGATAGTGAGGTGACTCTCCGTGAAAATCAAATGGAGAGTCACCTCATTCGCGGTGACTATTGTCATCTCACTAGTGACATCATTCGTGGGGTTTTATCGGAGACGAGCCAGCCAACGGCTAAAAATCTCCTTAATAAAGATAAAAAAAAAAATCATTCGTGGCGCAGAATAAGCATCAGGTGAAGTAACATTTGTCCGGATATGGTGAGTTTCCATGCAAATCAAATGAAATGTCACCTCACCCGAGGTGACAATTGTCACTTCACTAATGACAGCGAGTCACCTCACCTAACACGCCACTCAGACTAGGCCTAACAGTCAACTCTCCCTTTTCTCGATGGTTTCGACTTAGGGAGGTATTCTCCCTTATTCTGCGCCGCGAGTGAGGTAAGGTGACTCGCTGTCACCAGTGAGATGACAAAAGTCATCGCTAGTGAGGTGACTCTCCGTGCAAATCAAATGGAGAGTCACCTCATTCGCGGTGAATATTGTCTCCTCACTAGTGACTTCATTCGTGGCGCAGAATAGGCATCAGGGTGAAGTAACAATGGTCACCCCGGATGAGGTGAGTCTCCATGTAAATCAAATGAAATGTCACCTCACCTGAGGTGACAATTCTCACTTCACTATCACTTCACTATCACTTCATTTTCACCTTCCTTCACACGCCACGCAGAATAGGCCTATCTTAATATTTGTCAAGAATTATATAGTCTATTTAGATTGAGGTTCATATAGGGACTTATTACGGATGTCACTTCACGGTGAAAACTTGTCACTTGTCGTCACGGTGAAGCGATTCCCATTTGATTTGCACGGCAATCACGGCTCTTATTATGAGTATCACTTCCTTATCACCGTGTAGTGACACCCGTAATAAGACCCATAGTAACATTAATGCACGTTAATTATTCAAGGTGGTACGGTGCGGCGTGTAAGGTGAGATCACAGTGGCATGTCAATTGTCACCTCTGGTGTGGTGACTCTTCATTTGATTTGTACGGAGAGTCACCTCACCCGAGGTGACGATTGTCCCTTCACTAGTGACAGCGAATTACCTCACATCACACGCTGCGCAGAACAGGCCTATTTATTTTTAAACTCCTTGACTTAAAAATTCACAAATAATGCCCTTAAATTGTTTTCGTTTGTTACTACTACGGATTTATCAAAAATTATCTGGAAAAAATAAAATCAAGTCGAGTCAGGGAGGTAAAAATGCATAAGCAATTGAATTAGAGAATTATTGAGCTAGGGAGGGAGCGATGCTTGTAAAATTTAAGGGCTGTAAAAATCATCGAGCATGGGAAAATATCGAGACACAGAATATAGACTAAGGACGAATTTAATGTATTTGGTTGATTCTAGGCACCATCAGTTTTAGACATAGTTCATAAAGGTTCATATTTAAGGGAAATCCCCTTTGGTTTAACCATTTAGTTCCAAAGCTGAAGCCAATGAAAAATTGGCTTAGTTTTTTTTCCTTTGGTTTGTTTTTTTTTTCGTCGATCTTGTTTTCCGTGCTGAGCACCAATGCTACCGACGTGCCAGGAAGGCAGCTTCCACACCTGGACCCTACCTATCGACCCATCAATTCATGAACCGGGGACCAACGGCATTACTTCCCATCCGAAGGAAGGCGTGATCAGAGATGTTATGCCTCAGAACATCCTGGCGGTGCCGACTGGGATTGAACCCAGGCCTGCTGGGGTGAGAGGTAATCACGCTTACCACTACACCACCGGCGCCGTTAAATTGGCTTAGTTGATCTTACTAATTTATTCGCATTCAAATTATTTCCTAAACAGATCTCAAAACTCAATCTTCTCGATCACTGTCTCTTCTTCTTCGATGGTTGTCTGACTTGGTTACGAGAATCGCCATCAGTAAACGGAAAATGTCCACTGCGTTGAGAAACAGCTTCAATGCGTGAGTGACGTAATCATCATTTCCCAATCGATACTCCTCCATAACCACTTGCGTGTCGAACAGCACCAAACCACACATCACCGCGAGGGCCAAGTACAGGCTCAGCTTGTGTACAATCCAGGATTGATAGAACAAGTTGCCCGCTCCTACCATGATCAGGGCACAGGTAATGCTTGACAGGATACCTCCAAGGACTAGGTGACTTCCTCGACGAGCCAGGATTGCCGACAAGCTCAACCAGCTGAAACTTATGGTCGTACCCAGGAGAGCGGTGACAACGAAAGCCGGATTCACCACCATTACCTGTTCGATGAGCAATCCCAAAACGTGTCCGGTAAGCGTCCCAATCACCAGCAGCAGGGAAAGGCGAGTTTTGCGATTGATACTTCGTTTTGGGATTAAAAGGAGTGCCACTAGAGCTGCAAAATTCAGGAAAGCCGATAGGAATCCCGCGTTCCATAGCTTGGTCAGATGCCCGATCGAACCGGTTGCTGCCGCAGCGCACGTAAGAGCCATACAGGTGTACACTTTGGCCAGGTGTTGGCGAAGGTTCGGTTCCAAATTCTGAGATAAAAAGTTACTAAAATTTCGATACGAAAACGACGGTTGGGACGACATTTTTTGAAATTTATCGCAGCACAATGTGCTTGCTTCGATGAAAAATAAAAATCAACTTTCTGGAGGCAAAGATACATCTACATCAGCCAAAAACGATAGTCATTAAAAATCATATCTCATGTCTTATCGTAATCCCAAGAAATGTCAAACAAATAAATCAAGATGGATTGGCTAGTACTGCATTCTCACTGCAAGCATGCCATCCAACTTTTCAAACGCACAATTGACCGATTGAAATACAATCAACCCCTTCAGGAGCAGCCCACCGATCCGCAGTTCGCACTAGCTCCCCTCTGCAACTTCCGAAATGATTGTGTTGTGTGATCTTGAGAGCGGTAAAATTAAATTTATATTCAAATTTGACATGCCTCTCTGAATCGGAATGAAGTTTACGCAAGCGAAAATAAAATATGCGGTAGCTTCTTTTCCTTATCTCGCAATTTTCCGCATCCCCACCCATCATCATCATCGCATCGTCTCGTCGGCATCTTCTTTGTCCGAGGCGTGTGTGTGGGTGTGCGCGAAAGAGATGGAGAGAGGGTGAATCTGACAGCTTCTTTCTCCCGTTCCCCGGAGGCCAAATCTGATCTGACGATACCCCCTGACTGACTTGACTGTAGGGCACGTTGTTGTCTGGGTCGTGGTGGGTGGGTATATGTGGGAGTGACAACAAACGGCATTATGTGGGGGCATAAAAAACCGCACTCTCACACAAAACGCCCGGCACCGGATCAACCACAAAGCCAGGCCACATATACAAAGTAATATAATCTTGAAGTCTATTTTATGTATATTGCATGCACAGCAGCGCGCGATTTTTTTTTCGGGATTGGATTCGCTTTTTAGAGGGTGTTTTAAAGTATAAACAACGGAAAAGTCGAAATAAGCATAACAGCGACCAGATTGCGGAAAGCAGGTCTAGCAAAACTGCCGAGTAGGAGACGGCGCAAAAAAAAATCCGGCAAAAAGTCAAAACAGGGACAAATAAAAATGTAAAACAACGAAGCGTTTTAATTTAAATAAAAATGGAATTTGAGTGAAAGCGCCCCTCTCGGCCGCTCGTTCGCTGGATGGCGGGATCGGTCGTATGGTTAGTGATGTTGGTGGCTTAGGCTGGACGGTTCATGGGGTACACAATTTATGTTCCATGCTTGGCCTTTTTCCTTCTCCTCCTGGCATCTGCTGGGCAAATCTGACACCGCCGTGCCTCACAAACGACCCAAAGAGGCCGGGCTCCCTAAGAGAGCTTTAAGTGAAATGTCAAGCATTAAGAGCTCCGAGCCTTTTCCGGTGGAAATTTTTTACTCGATGAACAAAGTTTAGCAATAAAATAAATACTCCTAACGAGCACCGGAGACCGTCGCGTCACAGTTCCGCTCTTCCTGGTAGCTGGTGCTGAAACATCTGTGAGTTTTGTTGTTCTTATTTTATCACTCATTGGTATATCACTGGATGACGGCGGGTAGCCCTTTCTCCTCTTCAAGTTGTTTCGAGTGTACGAGTGCTCTTGAGGAACATTTTTCGGAGGTTTAATTGTACTTGTTGAATTGGATTTCGATTTGCCTTTGTTGATCAGTTTTACTGATGTTGGATTAACCTCCTACTTGGTTCGATTTTCTGTTGGTATTTGAGCAGTAGTGGAGTAGCTGTCAGTAAAGGCTCAGGCTAGAATTACACACCTTAACATACAAGCGAATATATTCATAAAAGTTGCAGAAAATATTATCAGAACCAACTTTGCTATTTATACATTTGCAAAAACATGGTAAACTTTCTACAAAGAGGTGAGAAATTTGTTTATAACCTAAGAATTTTGAGACAACTCTTTTTTTTTCCTTGATTTGTTTTCCGTCGATCTTGTTTTCTGTGCTGAGCACCAATACTACCGACGCCAGGGAGGCAAGCTCCCACACCTAGATCCTACCTATCGACCGGGGACCAACGGCTTTACTTCCTTTACTTATGCCTCAGAACACCCCGGCGGCGCCGACTAGGATTGAACCACCATGCCAACTTTTCAAATTCTCAATAATTTCACAAGAAGTCGTTTAAATTCCTAATATGCGATATGCAATAAGCTTGAAATGCGAAGAAGAAGAAGAAGAAGGAGAAGAAGAAGAACTATTTTGACCTGGGATGAACAGCTAAATAAATGACCGCAGTTAACAATGTTCCTTTTGTACTAAATATTCATGTGTATGTATGTATGTATGTAAGGTAGCCACCATCCCTTCGAAGATCTTGTCTTGTATGCAGCTCCACTTAATAGCAAGATCAATTTGAGCTACCGATCTGAATTCACAATATCGCTGTATGAAGGGCCAAAAACGGTGGGGTGGACCCGTAAGCAGAGACACTTACGCGAAATCCACGGGAATTTAAGAATCTCCTTCCAACGATACGATCCAACAAATCGAATAACGCAATTCGCAATACTTATTAAGCTTCCTACAGGATGGTTTGTTAAGAAGGGCGCGTCAATCTCACTGAAACTGTTGGAGTAGAATTCACACCATCACAATCGAATCGGTAGGATAAAGAAAATGATAGTGTTTATTCCCTCCTAGACTCCGGTTGTCATACCACTCCAATCGTCCAGTTTCAGGTCAAATGATACCCTGATGCTCCCTCCCAACCCAGTATTTATTTATATATATAGTAAACATATGTAATGGAGAAATGAAATATATCAGAACATTAAAATACGTAATAATGAAAATACATTTATATGGATAAAAAATATGCAGCTCTATGTCTCCTCAGCTCCCAATAAGGAAGATGTAACCCTGAAATTTCCAACAAAAGACACAGAAAAGGAGATTTTGTTAGTAAGTTGGGTTCGTTGGATCAGGATTCACCTTGATAAGTGATGCGACCATGGTTTTAAATGAATCAGTGTTATCATGCATTATACTTGGATTTGCCCGAAGCCAAAACCAAATGGTGTATCATTGGGCCTTATTACGGGTGTCACTACACGGTGATAAGAAAGTGATACTCAGAATAAGAGCCGTGATTACCGTACAAATCAAATGGGAATCACTTCACCGTGACGACAAGTGACAACTTTTCACCGTGATGTGACATCCGTAATAAGCCCCCTTATAATATAAATCTGAAGACGTTCCATCATCGAAATGCTGAAAATGAACTTAGAGCATGAGCTTGAGCAAAATTGATCGCCCGCGACTGCCAACACCAAAGAGCTGAAAACCAATTCAAACAAATCAAATCAACAGACAAAACCAGGGTGAAAGCTGTATGAGTGAATCATTACAGTATAAATCTAGTGATGTTCCGTCATCAAAGAGCTGGAAGAAAACCCAAATAATTTAAATCAATAGATCCAGTCTGAATGAAGGCTGCAAAAGAGAATAATTATACAGCAATGACCCCATTTTGTCAGCTAGCAAAGTATGCGTATCTTAAACATTCATCTTGAAGGAGGAAGGTATGAAATTACAATTATGTGGAATTATTGAAAAATAACAGTCTGATGCGCGGAGAGTTTGACAAGATCGGGTCATAACTGTAATGTGAATATTAGGAAGATTTATCATCATCAAACTATTCTTGAATTGACCTGGAAGAATGCTTCTGAATAATTGTTATACAGATAAATTAAATTGATAAACTAAATGGTTCAAACAACAACTCCAGCCTGTAAAAAAGCTGAAAATAGGAAATCTTTACAATGTGGATCCCCGACGGTCTTCTACTCAGTAAGCAAAAGCGGCAGCCACCAGGCTAGTCGATCTGCTCAATTTAAATATTGAAACCTTATTTTATGAAGTTCTTAAGAATACCAATTGAAACACAATGTAAACAATAAAAGTTAAGAGTCTCATCCGAATCAAATGATTCCAAACGATACGCATTCATAGAAATTAAGTTTAAATAGACAAAAGTAGAAAAATGGAACAATCTCACCAAATCAGTCCAACTGAATCCCTTGCAAGCAGCTATGTCACGCTTGGTGTAGTAGCTCCGATCATAGACCCGCCCTACGGGGATCAATCCTCTGGTCGAATGTAGTCGATTGCTCCATGACGCGAACACGAAGCGACCGCTCACAAAATCATACAACGCGTAAACAAACTGAAATCAAAAACTATCACACGCGACGCCACAAATTTCTGTACCGGGAGCACAAGCGAAGAAAAAAAAAACAAACAACGCAGATAGCGACACTTCTTCTGATGCCTGCAAACATGATGCATCACGTTTTCTTTTTCGATTCCAAAACTTCTCGGAAAGCGAGAAAACCACCAATCACACACGTATAACCGTCCGGGAGGCAGAGTGCCAGCGCTAATCCTTCAAAATCAGCGAACGCACGCACAAAACAGAAATAAACTTATACACAACCGTATCCGAACAGGTTCGAAGCTGAACTGTTCCTTTTGTACTAAATATTCATCATCACAAAACATTAGGCCATGTTAATTCTTCCCGATCATGTTCACCCTTTTCAACTCGTTTCTATGGATGTTTTTTTTCAGGAGCATAAGATGGAAAAAACGGATGTTTCTGGTGTCAGTTGACATTACTCTAACCTTTTCTAGTTAAATATTCTCAGAGATTTTCATCCCTCTTCCGCTATGGAAGCTGGTAAACATAATGTTTCTGATCGCAGTATATCTTAATAATTAATAATTATTAATTTCGAGTTTCCTCATTTCAGGCATGTATTTCTACAAGATGAGATGCCTCGTTAAAGCAGTGACCTAATTTGTGAACGTAAATGTTAGGTCCCTGGGCGGTAAGGGTCAACTCTTATGTACCCTGTAACTTTGATACACACTGATTTGAACACAAGTCACTAGGTTACGGCAACGGTTCACTCCCAACTAACATTTTTCTGCTTTTTAAGTCAACTTTTCCAGCATTGTGCTGCAGATACAGCTACAAGCAGAAGCTAGCAAAATAGTTTTGGAGAGCGTTTTCTCAACTTTCTAACAACCATTATTCAATGTGTCAGTCGCACTGAATAACATCAG